TAGAACTAAATTAGGTAAATTATTTATTTGCGTTGACATAAATGACCTAGTTGTTTCTCTGTTGTGCCAACTTAATGCCTTCTATTTTTCTTCTATTTTTTTAATGGGAAATAACACTACTCTCAGCTCAAAAAGGTAAAATCTAAAAAAAATCTAAAAGAAGTTATTGCATCAATACTTTGAGTGGATTTATTTGCAATATACGGGTATACCCGTTGCATCCCATAGTAATTTATCATTGTTTTGAAAACAATTCCAACGGACAAATAGGATGGCAATACGCGTATGCCGGAAATGAATCCACCCGAAGCAATAGAAAAGGCTACTTCTACACTATACCGCATAGCTTTGGTGCCAACATGAAAAGCTATTCGATACCGCAGTATGAACGGCAACAGCACAGAACTATAACAAGTCTTTCCTCCAATCGAATATCGTATTGGCCGAGAGGGATTGGTGCACGGAATTTACTTCCGTTTCAGTTGGTTCCAGTCCACGCTCCTACACATTTACTTCCGCTACGGTGGTAGAGACCGGCGCGCGCAGATTCACTCCGTTACAGAATTTGCGCCGCGATCACCGTTCTTTTGCGTGAACAGAAGCTCCGTCTGGTGTGGTTTTTGTGTGCGCACAAGACCTGTCCGGTATAGTATGAACAAAGCTTTAGTCTTCTTTAAACTCTAAAAATAGTCCTTGGAGTAAATAAAAAAACATTATTCTCTAAAGTAGAACAGTAGACCACAAGTTTAAAATCATTTTTCAGACAACTGCCAGGCCCTTTTCAGGGAACGCCAATAGACCTCTTTAGACTGGACGTTTTATTTTCGTAGTGCAGTTCAATTGATATCACTGTTTCTTTCAAATTTCGTGTTATAGACCTTTCCCGCATTTTGCTCCAGTGTACTAACACACTGAAACGAATTCGAGGCTTGGGTGGACAAATTTCTCTACAATCGCTTTATTTTGGGTATGTTTACACTAGACGACATTTTTCACGTAGAGCGTCCCCATACTGTGGCATGTCTGCCTCGGATAGCTTTTGCTTAGTGTAGCCAGTGTGTATGTTTTATGTATTTCATTGCTGTTCATAAAGTTGTTGTTGTTGTTGTTATTGTTGGATTCACATTGTTTCCCAATTTGTTGGCGTAGTGACGTTTTCGCTGCCCTTGCCGTCGTCGTTGCTAAAGCGCCCTAAAGCGTTCCGTATTGGTTTTACGCAAATTCGCATGATCGAAGGTGAAAAGTATCCAGATTTGCTGGAAGAATTGTTTACAATGCAAAACATCGCGAAGTTAACAGTAATCGGGTACAAAGTATTCCTGGCACTTAAAGTGCGGACTCAAAATTGACCAAACCGGGACGTTTTTATTTCGGATTCTAGCATCTGAAAAATCACCTCTAGTGTTAATGTAGCCCCTCCCAGCCCAAGCCTCGAGTTGGTGCATTTGTTCACTGGAATGCTGGTATGTTCTATTCACGTGGAAACGTTCGCAGAGAGACCACAAAAAGCGATGTCACTCGAGAACGTCATCTGACGCTAAGCTTACGCTATTATTGTTTGTACAGTATTTCGGATAGGACCCTAGAGTTCCGTTTTACGTAGATAGACCCATCATACGTCTATTAAACACACGATAAACTACGAGCATGCAAAACTTTTGAGAGTGGGCAAGAGAATATATCGACTATCCTTTTTAAAAATCGATAAAAAGTTACGATCCACATTGATAACGCCAATCCTTTGCAATTGACGCCACGGTTCACTACGTATCTTGTCATGGAATGCGACAGAAACCTTGTTACAAAAATAATTCGTACACTCAAGCGTTTCACCCAAAGTTTAAAATACAAAGAAATATTTCCAGCAGGCAATGAGCTGACCGTGGATCTCATGGCAATCTCTGTCGGACTGATTACATGTAAGTGATCAAAAATTCTGGGTAAGACTGACTGTTTTCAAAGACGACAAACAAGGCAGGGTTGGTCATATTATCACAGCACGAGTCAAACAGAACGTTAGGGCTTAAGGGGTTCTTGGGTGGTGGCCGAGTCAGTGAACTATTGCCAGTGGTGTAAGAACCTACCAATACTCTAGCCAAAAACATTTGTTTTTTACCCCTTAACTGACTAGCAGTGAAGCGGTGTGAGTAGTTGGCCTTAGAAGCGAAATAACTTCCCTTCCCATACGATGTGCCGTGCTTGCCACACAATCGCCAGTCAAAGCCCTGCTGGCAGATGGCGTCAGCAGTCTCGGATTTAGTTCCATGAAACAGCTGCCGTTCTTCGGGATCGCCGCCAGCCTTTTTGGCCATGCGGCTTTTTTCCCTGCAAAGTGAAAAAGAAAGAAACAATTTAGAACCGCAGTTGATCATCCTATCAGCAGAGCCTTTCTTCCGCTTGCTCGCTTTGGGCGTAGATCAAGAAGAAGGAAAAAGTATGCTCTGCTCGGAGTGTGCGGTGCGCACTTTACTAACAAGAGACGCTAAAAGCTACTAGAGACTTGCAAGTTTGGCAAACTGGTCCCCAACCCAAAACCCAACCGCATCATGCCTGAGCCACTTTCTTCGGATTTGTATCAGATCTTACTCTCTATGAAGATTTCCTCAGATAGCATATTATGTTAGCAATCTTGACTTATGGAAGTCATTTAGCTTTTTTTGAAGACCCTGTCTCCCGAGAAGCAAATAGCTGTGCATAAGCATATGGGAATACAAAAAAACTATTTGGAAAACCATAGCCAACTCAGGACAACACATTAACAGCCTGCCTCTAGTTTGGAAGACTCTTTTTCTCCAACGTTTTGGAGTTGGCAATTTGCGAAAAACGTAGCTCTTTCCACTGATGTCAATTCAACGCATTGGTAGATTGTCCAGCTCCTGCCGCCGAAAAGCTCATCGAGGATACTGAAGCGTTTTCACTTGTAATCAAGTATGCTTCGATCTCTTTTTGATTTCAGTCATGTAGCATCTTTTAGAAGCTCTTCCAAAAAGTAATATAATAAAATTGAATATAATTTATTTGAAATAGACCTGCCATAACATTTTCCCTTCTGCTTTGAAGACCTTTCTCATAACAGCTGGTTAATTAAGGCCCTGCATTAGTGATTTTTAAAAGGGAATTAAAGAAACAAAGAACATACTGATTGTATCGTATCCATAAATCTGGGTTTTGCACTCGCTCTATCTTGATAATCATGTGATGTACATCCATGGTTTCCTGAAATTTCTTTTCTGTCCTCTTGTATTCATCAGATATGGTTTCCAGTTTAACACATTGGAAGTCTTCACCATCCGAAATACGATCCCAGTGAGATGGCAAACCATCCGGCTCGGATGATGATGAACTTGTTTTCGGATGGGCCAAAGCAGTTGCTCTACGCCTGATATAACAATAATTTATTACTAAATAAGTATAGTTTTAACAGTTAGGAAACGTTTAAAACTTTGATGTGGCGGTGGGGTGGGAAAAGGAAGAAGAGCTTGCAACTACGTCTCTGGAATTTGAATTCCACCTCCAATTTCCCTGTGGCTCACCATCTACTGTAAGATTTCTGCCAATCAGCATGAAGCAGAAACAAGCGCAAATGTAAAAACATTGAAAAACACGTGCTAAGGGTAACTACGCTATTACTAATGTCATCTCCGCCAATCAGCATTTCCATCGACTCTTCTGATGCAGATATTCAAATTCAAGAGACCTAGTTGCAAGCTCTCCTTCTTTTTCCTGCCCCGCCACCAGAGTGCTCCAGAGAGCTTGCTCATGGGCTTAAAGTGACCAATAATATGGCAAATGGGAAGAGCAAATTAAGGTAAATTAATGCTTCACAAACCTCTGAGCAATGTCTTTCATATTTTGTTTGGTCACAAAGTCAGCAGGCCTCCTTCTAACAGGGGAAAACCAAAATACTTGTAGTAAAACAACCATGGTAGGAAACTTCATGTCTCACATTACCACTACTCTCCGTGATTTCCTCACTGTTAGGAATAGACCTCTTTTTATTCTACTTCAGTACGTTATTGTAGATGTCTTCATTTCCAAGGGAAATGAAATAAAGATCACAGATAAAAAAAAAAAAGAAATTGTCTCTATAGCTTCCAGTTAAAGATGAAGGTAGATCCATTTTTTTATGGGGGGGGGGGAGGGGGGTATCAAGGACCACCCCCTTGGTATATGACAGACAGACATATAATCTTACTGAATGAGTTTAATTTCCAAGCTGAAAATTACCAGGTGAGTTTCTAATTCCCTAGAAATGTATTGAAGAAGATGCAATATGAGATTAAAAGAAGAAAAAATGGAAACATATGACAAATTGATTTTCATAACTAATATTGTGGAACTTTTATAAGAAAACAATTTTAGAAAGTTATTTTTGTTTTTGCTATATCACTGCAGTGGCAGTTTTAATGGCATGTAAAATTAATATTTTGGCCATTAACTACAGCATGGCCTGCTAAAGTCCCTACAGAAGATTGATTTAGGTCAACTCTCTCACTAAGGACACCTCTAGAGGACAGACACTTTAATAAAAAAAACTCCTTAGAGCTTGTCTCTACCTTTCTTGACTCCTTTTGGATTCCACTTCCTATAAGATGGACATCTCTCTAAGCTGGACGCATAGTACTGGTCTTAGAAAGAGCTATCTGTAATAAAGGAGAAGGGGGATTTCCTACCTGCTGTGTATTCTCTCTCAAGACATTGACTGCTGGTGGTGTTAACTGCATGTCCATCCGATGGAGTGTCATACGACTGCCACTTGTTATTTTCATCCTGCCAGTACCAATGCCACCTAGTGCTGTACACGTGGCCCACTGCGGCAACCACAGATGATACAGTAGACAGTCGTCGAACCTTGGGAGACTTGTAATTCACGGCTGAAAGAGCAAGGAATACATCTTCACTATTTATTTTTCTGTCAACCCCTCTTTTCACTCATGTCTGGGCTTCTAAGCTTTCACTATTGTACCTTACATTTCCCCACTTCTTTTACTACCACAGCTCCTGCTACTACTACTACTACTACCACCACTGCTGCCACTACTACTTTATCCTAGGGTGCTTACCATTTACACCAACCACCCGGGTGGAAATCTTGTGTATAAACATAAAATTGTAAAATTTGATGTGGTGGGAAAACAACCTGCCACAAAGTTCTATCCAGCTGAACAGATTGAAAAGAGAAGAAAAATTGCATTGCCGCAAATCACAGACCATGTTTTCTGAAGCAACCAGAATTTTTGGTTTTTCCATGCAAATGGTTTAAGTATCCCTAGAGTTGCTATTTTCCAGAAACCACTGAGGTCACCAGCACAGTCCAGCTACAACAAAATCTTACTGAGCCATGGATAAATTTTAATTTCCTGATTTTATTTTTTAGTACCAATTCCCAGTTTTCCTAGTCTTGATAAAAATCTTCAACCATTCAACCATCAGCTTCCCAGAAAATTGATATCCTAGAGTATTATAGGCTCAAACTCTTTGATTTCTATACCCTATCCCACACCCTTAACAATGGTACACACCTATATAGCCCATATAATGGTAGTACATTCTCCCATGGGATTCAGGCATAACACTTGATTTGCAGTGGCGGATCCAGGGGAGGGCCCCCTTTGTTTTTAGAGCAAACTGAGGCCCAAAGGGCCAAAAAAAATTTTTTGGAGACCGGTCCCCCCTCTTATACAAGGGTCTGGATGACTGGCCCCCTCCCCTTATTTCAAGGTCTGGATCCGGCACTGATTTGTAACTTTCAAAGAGGAGATACTTACCATCATCTGGTAAAACTGGTTCAGCAGTCATACCATCAAATTTAACGCAATGAAGAATTCCTCTGATCATTACTGTACAGCTACCTTTTTTAACATCACAGTAGGTTTGCTCTAGCATTGTATTTAGATCACTTGAAAAGCTCTCCCACTTTTCGCCATGTACAGAAAATTCCCACAAGTAGGGTAGCTCTGTGTGTTGATGGATACAGTTGTTGCCATAGTTACACTTGCCACGCAGATTAAATCCACAAATTTCAGTGTCCTTTTCCTTTTCATCCCTTACTTGGGTGGTGGGAACCAGGACACTGAGATTTACTGCTTTGGGAAATGCTTTAACGAGGTTTTCAACATCAGAGCTTCCACTGACGGTATGCTTTCTTTCGCTGCCTTTCAAACGCTGAAGCACTTTCAGCTCACTGATGCCATCCATGTCATATTTTTCAAGCACTTTTCTGTTGTGACGGTCAGAGAAATCATGCTCCCTTTTACAGCCTTCGCCAAACTTACAATCTCCATCAATAAAATGTTGACACACGTGCAAGTAGGGACAATTGTCCCTTTTCTCGCAGGTTCCTTTGTTATAGAATTTACAAATGTCTGGAACAAATCGTTTGGCAGCAGTTCGTTGTAGCTCACTTTCATCTACGATCATTTTGAAAATCTTTTGTAAAAGGGAAGATGAAGGATGCTTAGTTAAGAAACCGAGGCGGAAGTGATTTAGAACACCAACTGTATGTTCGTCACCATAATTATGAGATCTTTTGCACTTTAATCCAAATTTGCAGGTTCCCTTGATAAAGAAAGGACATAAATGAAGATCACTACACCCTTTTGCAACACATCCGCCCTTCTCTCCAGCTTGAGTACAAAACTCTAGTGGGATATCTAACTTAACCATCACTTTCGATTTGGACTTCCCTATCTTAGCCTGACTAAACAGCTGCGGAAAGCGTTTCACGAATTCCAGTGCTCCGAAATCTGACACCAAACGACGGCTGTGTGAACTGAGTTGCAGTACTAGACCCCCGAGTTCTAATTGCCCTCCACTTCCCAGGAGCAGTTCTATCATTTCCTCCACTGCTTCTCTCGGGGTGCTAGAGTTCGCCATGTTTCTTTGTTTGCTAGGTACTTCCGCCTTGATCAGCCTGCACTATTTTAATCAGTGGTCAGATAGTCGTGTGAGGTAGGTACTTCATATATGATTATTATTATGTACCGTAATATACTTATTATTATATTATTGTACTTTATACAACACCATATATACCCCTAATCAACACCATATACTCCTATACATCACTATACACCCTATATATCACCATATACCCCTATACAATATCATATACCCCTATATACCCCTATACAATACCATATACCCCTATATATACCCCTATACATCACTATATACCCCTATATACCCCTATACAACACCATATACCCCTATAC